GCTCGCTCGCTCTCGCTCTCGGCGCCAGCGCTGGGAGCACGTGCCGCACTCGGGCGGACGCAGCTGGAAGCGGGGCGCGGGGCTGCCTCCTACTCCGGCAGCGCGCGGCGGAGCGCGGGTGAACGACCAGGGCGCAGACCCTGTGGGGGACAAGTGTCTTGAAGCCTCATAGTCTCGGGGTTCAGGAGAGGGTAGCCTCGGGCTCCCTCTGCAGCTCCTCAGCTTCCCTCCAGGAGCCGCGGAAGAAGAGCTGTGCGGGGAGGCGTGGGCGGCGTGTCACTCAGAGAAGCTGGGGGAGCAGGTAGATAATCAGCTTCTCTCTGATGGTGGCACTTAACCCCCTGACAACGTTGGGGAGAAGGGGCATCGCTGCTGGAGGGCAGAGAAAATCAGGGAGTCCGGGAGCCCAGATTCAGAGGAAAGAAGGGTCTCTTTAGTGGCATTACTTATTAATAATGCCATTTTGCATGTCTGCACTTCTTACAAACGATTCTTTCTACATCCATTAAAATTTCTTCCTCCAGAGCAATTAAATATCTTTTACTTCCTCAAATGACTTTGCTTCCCTTCTCCTACCACCCCCATAACTCACCAAGATTGTAAAAAATAAAATAAATTTTAAAAAATACTGTGTTAATATTTGAATTCCAAAAACACTTCATTTCTGCCTCTGAAAAAGAGACTGGTATAAACGAACTGCATGGCTTAATTTAAAAAGAAGGAAGGCATTGCAGCAATATGATAATTATAATACCCCTTATATTTCCCTAGCTGAACTTTGGGATCCAGATGTTGCAGCAGCTGGGTGGAAGACTAAAAGATGAAGGCACTGAAGTTGAGGGGTTTGGCCCCGATGTGTAGATTACTAATAGAGATTTCCCACCAGACCCTTGTAAACAAGGCAAGCTGCTCCTGGGTAGCTTCCGTATTCAACAAGAGAAAGAAACAGGTAAGTATCCACCATGCCTTGTTGATCTTCACAACAGCACCTTTCTTCTCCCCATTTTCACGTGTACTCTGATGGTGGCATTAATTCTTGAGACTCTTTGATCGCAATCCACAAAGCAAGCCTTAGTACTTTGTAAAGAAGCCAGCAAAGCTGTGGTTGATCTTCCTGAATAAGAAAGATGAGAAATATGGTAGAGATGAGAAAAATACCAAAAAAAATAGAGTTCTGAGGAAAATAAGGGGAACTAATGACAAGATGACTGTGGAAATGTAATTAAATCTGATATATAAAATGATGTGTTAGCCCAGTTGGATGGGGCATTGGCAATGAGGACAAACTCATAGACTTCAGCCTTGTGTTGGCTGCTTAGTTTTGAGTTATCATGGGACACACTAAGTTCCCCATCCTTCATCATTTAAAACTGGCTCAAAGTACACAGGTGAGTGGACTGAGCTTAAGTAAGAAGGGGTTCTCCTGGCGGCCACTCAGTCATTTGAAGTCTTGTTTCCTACACATATTTCCTTCCCTGCTGTCTCCCGGGTTATGGAGAGGATGGGCAGAGATAAAACATGTCAGAAATGAAAAACTGCTCCAAAAAGGTAATAATACATGGTTTACCAAGACATGTCTACTTCCTATGCTCTAAAAGCTCAAATGTGAAGAACATTCCCCATGTTGTTCAACAGTGATAATTTCAGGTGTTTGCCTTAGGATGAGCTATTAATAATCAAAATATTGTAATTCTTGTGTACGATGAGAAAAGTTACTTATAATTGGTTTTTAAAACTTGTAATCTTCATTGATTCCTTTCTTTCTCTCACATGTGACAATTTCTCAGGAAATCCTCCTGGTTCTACCTTCAAAATATACCCGGAATCCTACTGCCTCTAACCACCTTCACGGATATTATGTTTAATCAAACGCATCACCTTTTACCTGGTTACAGCAATAGCTTCCAATGAGTCTTTCAGCTTCTCTTTTTCTGTACAGGCTACTACATTCAACACAGCAGCAGGAGTGTTCCTTGTCAGAAGTTAGCCTAAATCAAAACCCTCCAGTAACTTTCCATTTCCCCAAGTCAAAGCCCACATCTTTGCTATTACTCTACCAAATAAGTCTCCGCTCCAC